CACTGATGTGACCCACAAGGTCCTTTCATTCCTCAGCAGCCTCTTTATATTCCAGAATTCTCTTGGACTATGTTCTATCAGAGGAGCCCACCACTCCAACCGTTTACTTCATGATGCAGTATCAATGTGTTACTCCTTTAAGTGAACTTCTCTTCAGAAGTTCTCTGAAAGGAGTTCATACTCCAAAGGAGTATCTATGATTACACAACTTCCATAAATTCCCTGTTCTGTTGATCGGGAGATGCTTCAGGGAGGAGACTTTGAGCGTGTCTCAGGTCCCTCCCACTTGGCCGACGTGTAAGTGAGCCCTGGGTGCTAGTAAGTGGGAAGCCTGGCTCTTACTTGAAGAAGAAACTTTATTATTTTTGAAGAGGTTGTGATTGGAAGATGAACTCTCTATCAGCCAAGTATCATTATGCTCCTTGAAAATTTGTCTACTTATTTTTTTTTAAATATAATAACACTTTAGTACCCGTTGTTCCAGTCTCTTTTTCTATTCCCGTCTTGCATAGGGGGCACCCAGTGGATGCATGTCCCTTGTGCCATAGCTACCATGTTGTCACGTGGTCTCACCCTGTGTGAACTCCCTTCTGCCTCGAAAAGCCATCAGAGGTGTAATTAGTGATTATTTCTCCAGAACTGTCTTGAAGGAGATCTAAGAGCCCTGTGACGAGCATGTGTATTGCTTCCTGGATGAAGGATAGAATTTGGAAGGGTTGGAGAGAGGTTCAGGGTTGGAGGGAAAAATGCATTCTGTCCTTTATCACCTCTCTGAAGTCACAGATAAAGCATCTTCCTTTGTGCAAAGATGGGGCACGTAAATCAAATATCTCCCAACTTTGTATGGCATTAAACCTGTAAATCTGGAGCATCCATATCAAATGCAATGTACTTTATAATATATTCTGAAGAAATTCAGAGATGAAGAAATATGATTCTAAGTAAAAGATTTTGAATGCTACTTAAAGAAGGGTAAGTAGAAAACATTCTACAATTTTCTTATGCCTTTTGACCCCTTTAGCAATAGTGAAATAGCTAATCAATAGATTTAATCCTGTCTTTTCCATTTCCTTCTCTTTTTTCCTTCTTTCTTCCTTCATCTTTTCTGCTTCATCTTCTCATTTTCAGTTGTAAATTTTTTATTTTCAGTTATAAAGTCAGTACAACCATAAACACACACACAACTGGTTATTAACAACACACACACACACAACTGGTTATTAACAATTAGATTTTTTTTTTCATGCTTTGGAAAGTTACACTTTCTATTTCAGAACCGTAAGATATTAATAATTTTCTATTTATTTGAATCACTTCAAAATAAAATACTGCTAACAAGGGAGCTTATTTCTGAACAATTGATGTGTGCTACAGATAATATGGTCATAGAAGAGTTTCTATGATTTTTTTGTTATTAATCACTATAATTACTGATTACATCAGTGATTAACTCACAGTGAATAAGGCATGTGCTTGTGTTGTTTATCTATTTTCGAAGGATTTATGTTCATCCATCTACACCTGTTCCACACATTCTCACCTCACCCTTTGGTAGCTGTGAGACTCTAGTTTGGGTTGCCTATGGCCACAAAACAAGTCACGCACAGGAGAATAAAGCCTGTGGTTTCCTCTACGTTATTGCTGGGCCATAGCCTTCTAAACTCCCTGGGTCAGTGATGATCAGTTGAGTATTCTAAAACTTGAATGTATATGCATATATACTTCTCGTAACAAGCACTCTCTGCACTATTTTCTAATGACTTTTCTGAAGAGTCAATTCAAGCCATTGTTCATATTTAAAGCTGTTTTACTCAGTGCCTGAAACTCAAGTAGAACTTGAGAATGATTTTTCGCTCATCTCTAGTGTTGGGTGAACCTTACCATTTGCCCGTCTACATAGAAATAATTAAAATAAAACTATTTAAGTGCAAGTATATCTAACAATAAATAAAAATGGACCCTAGAACTTCTGTAGCTGTATCCATAGGCTTCCTTTGGTCTCCTAGGGCCTGAGATCGCTGGGTGCTGGTTTTCTTGCTACTGCAAAGCAAGAGAACCGACCCTCTTGAAGAAGAGAAGAGGCTCTAGTGAGGACTGAACAATCTAGCACAGAGAACAGTTTATCAGAGGCCTTCAGATTCACTCAGATTCTTAGGCCCCATCTCAGATATCCTGAGCAACAACCTCAGGAGTCTGCATTGTAACTAGCTCCTTGGGTGTTTCTTACGTATAGTTTGCTTGCAAGCCACAGCCTTAGGGTAAAGGGTGATCATAAGATTTTGCTTGCAAGCCACTGCCTTAGGGTAAGGGTGATCATAAGATCTGCGAAGACTTCTAATTCCTTAACCTGACATTTGCTACATTATTCGTTCCCACGCTCTCAACTAATGGTAAGTTTTATGGAACTTCTAAATTAGTGAACTCTTTTCAAAATAGTAACAATGAGAGATCAGAGTGATATGAATCTTTCCATTGCTTGTTTTGGCTCATACTGTAAACAATCAAAAAGGACATGCGACATATATTCTGCCCGTTGTGATTAGAAGACTGATTAAGCAATGCGGGGACCCAATTCTCTCAAATTTCTGTACAGTTCTTCATCTTTACGTATCTGAGGGTCAGTGCTTATCTTTTCTTGGATGAACTCTTGGATCCCAGTATCTCAGCAAAACCTGTAAAATAGGTTTCAGATCCCGCGACCTCTACCGTTAGTGACAACTGAGCTGAGAACACATTCATGCTTCAGCGGCTGCCGGCTGCTTGAGCCTAGATTCCTGGCAACTAGGACTAGTCCCATTCACAATCACCTGAGAAATGTGGCTTTTCCCTAAAAAGACTTCCAATTAATACAAATATTCCTTATGACCTTGATAATTACCTCTTGCCTGCCGAGCAATCATATAGGGCCTTCATGACATTGTCATCCCAGACAACAGGGGGATCCGTATTCCCAGCCTTTTAACCCATCTGCATAGCCAGATGTTGCTGTTAACCTCTCTTGGATCCAGATATTTTTAACCCTTCAGATTAAGGGGGTTCTCTGATGAGACTGTTTCTCGTTCCAACATTTTTCTGACACAAGCAAACATGTTCTCAAGCAGGGTTACAGCAGCAAGTGTGGTGAATATTTTTTTTTTCATTTTTAAAAATGTCCCGTTTTATAAAACTGAAAACATTAAATGGCTATTAAGTTTTTGTGTGTGTGTGGCAACTCAGACTTATAAAGTGTACTGAAAAGTTCAAAGCTATGTGTGATAATGTAATTTTGAAGGTTGAGACCTTTCATGTTTTGTTACCAAGGTACCCAAGTAGGAAAAATATGGCTAGCTGGTCAGTAGTGTATTGTAAAGTGATTTTATTTTCCACACTCATCTTACAGGCTAAAAACTGGTGTTAGTTTTAATTATTTGGAATGCCACCAATATGGTGGGCTTCTTATAACAGTAGGGAGGGGGCAGGGCAAGCTATTGGAGGCCGGAACCCACCCATATTGTCCAGAATTCTTTTGGGACCTCACATGAAGCAAGAGAAACACCTTCTACTGGATAAACACCTTCTAGAATTGCCTTTTCCTCTGAGTTACGCATAGCCCCGCAAAGAGTCACATCCCTTCAGAGTCCTCCCAGAGATTACATGACTTGTTTCCAGTCACAAAATTACTGAGCAGTGAAACAGAGATTGCGACTCAGAGCTGCCTACTTCTGCTCAGTGCTCTTCGGACAGTACTCTTTAGCTCTAATGAGAAAACATTTAAGATCCTTCAAAGGCAGCTGAGAGAAAAGTCATTCACTTTCACTAACACCCTTTGAGATGCAGGATTTTTTGCACATTTTGCTTTGACACCCTTGTCTTTCACAATTATTAGAAATGGATATTATTTACTGATTATTTTGCTTGCAATTGATTTGCATACTGTTATCGCATATTATTAAGTGGTGCTGATTAATAATGTTGATTTGGACTAAATGTAATAGAATAAGCAAATACATTTGTAAGTTTAGATATTTTGTATAATTTAGGTGCTAAATGGTATCATAGAGCTGTTGAAGATTATTCTAGACCAATTCCTTGCAGGGAAATCCTGTCCACAATTTCCTCCCATATCCTATATTAATGTTTTAGGTTCCTCCCCTTTTAAAAAATTCATTTGCTTGTTTTGGTTTTAAAGCAAACACTTCTCACAGGCAAATACAGCTCCAAAGCTCAGGGTTAAAATAAATCCTTTTAAATTCAGAACATGGTAGTTATCTCCTAAATGATTTCTTTTCTAGAGGGTCAGAGAAGAATAAAATATTTATTTTGAATATATTTTCATGACCTTGATTGAATCAGTATGATGTGCAGCATTATCAACAAATTATATTATAGCAATATAAAATATTAATATAATTAATAATAATTTGAATAAATACAAAATACTTATATTAATACAGGATTGTTGAGTCATAGAATTTCTGAGCTGTTAGGAAACACTTGCTGATGGGGCCTCTGGGGTCCAGAGAGGTTTTGTAATTAACACACACACACCCACCCACCCACACCCACACACACAGGACGCTAGTTAGTTGTTGAGTTGGTTATGTGAACTGTTTAGTATATTCTGTACTTAGGTAATGTATGTGTGCTTATGCTTTGGTATATTTGGTATTTTTAATTATTTTCTAATATTTCAGACAAATTTTTCAACCTGAACTTTTCATTTATGCATTTATCTTCTAAACATATATATTGCCATTTATTATTTTTTTCTTTCTGCTGTTTCATATACACCATAAATATTTTCAGTTTGGAAATCAGTTTAAATAGTAAGGAGAATCTAAAAAAGAGTTTATAACATAGATATTTTAATGTGTTTATGTTCTTTTTTTTTAGAGCTACATTTTAATATGCTTTGATAAAACTGTATTTCTCTAATAAGGTATTAAGTTTGGTGGCTGCAAACAGTTCCCCAATGGAATGTCACTCACATTAATTTTCCATGTGTTCTCTTTTACTTATAGTTTTATTGTCCACATGTTTAAAGTCTAATAGAAAAAAAAATCACCGGATGTGAAGTTGGGGGATAGAGCCAAGTCTACATCTACATCCTCACGTTGGTGACCTTGGGTAAATTTTATTTTTGTGCTTCCATTTCATTTTTTTTTTTTAAATGAGTAGTTGAAAGCATCAAAGACTCTTTCCCACAATTCAAACACTCCATGAGCTCAAAAGAAGATTTGATTGAAAGAAATGTGTGGGCATCACTACCTGGCTGCCCAGTATTTTCATAGTCACACACTTGTTACATACATCTGAAGTTCCTTTAAGGAAATTAACTCTTTGTAGGTGTGAGATATGGGCATCAAGAGAAGTGGGATAAGTAGAAAAGGAAGGGGAAATAAGTTAATGACAAAGGGGGGATGGTGGGTGGTGGAAATGATTCCCTTTTTACTTCTTTATATCTATAGTCTAGTTATTCCTACTTGAAAACCTTACTGGCACCAGGTATTATCAACAGGGATGAGTAATATGTAATTTTTATCTTTACTGGGTTACATTTGGCCCACAGACAGTTGACAGCTGTCAGTCAGGTGGCTGGTCAATAAGGAGATACATTTAAAGCTGCCAAAGTATTTTTGTTTCTTTAAATACTTACAAGTAAACCATTTTAGCTGGAAGCTTCATTGTCCTGAAATTAAGTAGATCGATATTCACAGTATAATTTATTGAAATTAGTTGCTGGGAGAATCAAGATTTTCCCTGTGCATCTATGGTTAAACAAAATGTTTTCAAATGTCTTTCTGAAACAGGAGAAAAATTAATTTTTCTCCACTATAAATAAGCCATTCTTAAGATACAAAGAGGCATTGCAAATAATGCTTAAAATTTAAAAATATGCTTTTAAATTAAACTTTTAGGATGCATATGAGTCATTGCAACATCATCATAATTTCTGACTAAGACTTATTAAAAGAAATCATTTCCACATTGAGGGAGTTGGCATAGGTATTTTTGTGACACAAAAGTTGAAGGTTTACTGGAAGGTACAAACGTAGCTGCAAGTTGTACTAGGAATTAAAACTTCTTTCCATAATTACAAGAAAAAAACGTGAAATTTTAGATGAAGCCCACAATTCAGGGCATGGTTAAAATGACAAATTTTGGTTACTTGGAAATATTTGGGCTGTACCTAACATTGTCTCTAATAGGCTAAGTCACAAATAATTCACAAGACTCATAAAAAATAGTTTGGAAGAAGCTTTTGTATGGCTTGTATTGAGTGTTAATGACAAATAGTATAGTAATTACACTGTACATAAAGACTTCACAAATGTAATTCTAAAGTTGACCTAAGAGTATACGTTCAGTTTTGTTGTACTTATTTCTAGAAGTGAGTGTTCTGATTCTTTAGGAATATAGTATTTAACAGACCAGATAAATAACAAAATTATCAAGTGCATGCAGTACATAATCATTCTTTAAGAGACTAATGGAGTTATCTAAAAAATGAGGTGACCAAATTTACTTAGGTGCCAGAGCAATATAATGAAGATGACAGAATATCACACAGAAATAGCAGTTTGAAACCATAATATATTCCTTTTTAAAAAATAGAATATACTTTAACTTTCTGAACCATATTCTACATGTAATAATTCAGAATGAAAATCAGATTTGGGTTTTAATTATGTTTTAAAAATATTAGATTTTTTGGTTGGCCGGATCATTTCTGGTAATTTTTTAAACCACAAACAGTTCATAATTTTAAACAGCAATTAAGTCAGTCTAAAAGAGTATGATACTTATAAATTTGTGGCTTATCCATATCATCATTGATCTGATAATTATTTTAGATGCAGTGGTCATTAAAAAAGTCAGATCTTATTATTTTCCTACTATACAACTGTGTGTTAAGCATGTAGATTGAAAATTATTTACGAGATATCAGAAAAAAACAATTACCTCGTAATATTAGTAATTTATATTGGTAGGAGCCTTTCTCTTCTTAAACACCAATTGTACCCCCCGCAGCCCAGAAAATTGATTTTATGGCTAATAATTTATAGCATTCTTGATCGGTGTGTGCTGTGTGTCTTTTACATTCATTAGCCCATGTTGCTTGTGAATATGGAATTTGGTTGTTAAAATAGTTTCATATGTTTACTATGTATAGTCTTTAGCTTTGAGCTCCTTACTTGCTTAAATAAATGTTTTCAATTTGTATAATACAACAATTTGTAGAGAAATGCTGTGAAGCGTAGTTAAAAGAATGAGTCCTTGAAATAGAATCAATTTTTAAAAATATATCCTGACATGTGGTCTTATTTTTCCATGTTTTGTATTAATTAAAATCCTATTCTGAAAAAATTATTTTTGCCTAAACTTTTGAATTCACAAAATAAAAATACCAAATATATAAATGTACTAATTTTGGAAATCAGTGACGTAAAAACATGCTTTAGTACTGTCTTGGTTGTTTATTCCAAAGATTTTTCTCCAAAGAAACTCTTTGTAAGGTAATGAGAAAATGTTGCCACTTTTAATTATTAAATATTCTGTGCAATACATGTATTATAAATAAAACTAATTTCATATTCTCTCTAATCATATTCTTGTCACATGCACACATAAAAAATGTTAGCGCATGAAACGTTTGAAACGAGCATGTACCATTTCACATTTTTATTTGATTTATTAAAAAAACATTTTATTCAGAATAGATTATGACAGAATTAGATAAAAAAGAGAGGAAATGATATTTGTGTGTTTATTCTAATAGTCTCATATCATATATGTAATTAATTCTTCATCTTTCAGATATTGGAGTTAGTAATGAAAGAGACCAACATTCAAAATATAAAGTCTTTCCTATAAAACTCTTTTTTTAAATGTAAAAAATTGTCAAATGGTAACAGCTCTACTTTCTACACCAGGCAAATCTACTGTTGGGTTAGTTGGCTCTGATTCCAATGGTCTCATCAGCTTTCTGAATGTAGGTTCCTCAGCAGTGCCTCTTCCAAGATAACAAAATCAACTTTTAAAGATTAAAAAATATATTTTGGCAATTGAAACTCACCAGTGCCTTTCTGCTTCTCCAGGAAGTTGTACCCTTCAGCACCTGCTGAGGGCTTTGTTGTCCAAACCCTGACAGGTAAAAAAATTCCTGTAGAATAAAGCCAGACCAGCTGGCTTTGAAGAGAAACCCCCCAGTTTGGGCTGCGTTTGTCTCTTCTCCTTTTCTATGAAGACCCAGGCTTTCCCCCCTTGATCGTCAAGCCGTAAGATGCGTGATCCCTGTGCACAAGTGTCTGGCAGGCCGAGGTGCACCTGTTCCTGTCACTCTGGGGTAAATTTAGCTGTAAAGGTATCACTGACAACCAGACCTTTGTCAGTGCTGGCAAAAGAACACAGAATTGCTTCCCTCCCCTCCCCCTGCCAAGCCCCTATGCAGTTAGTTCAAATGGAAAATATCAAATTGGAAACCTATCCAAAAATCATTCCTAAAAAATGAGATTGCTTTCATATGGTAAAAAAGTAAGTTTCCTCATTTCACTCAGACTTTAAAATTACATTTCCAAGAATAATCTTGGAACAAGACAAGTTTTTGTTCAATTAATTGTGGCTGGAAACTTTTTAATGGAAACATAGCACACACTTACTTCATTTCAGATTATTAAATTGTGTTAAGCGTTAAAGTTAGTTGCCATTCTTTGCTGTAGCTTGTTTGTTCTTTTCAATCCAGAGAAATATTAGAAGGTTAAAACTTATCACATAGGAGGGATTAATCATGCTACCAAAATTAGACAGCATGTAGTTCTGAGAGACTGAATGTCAAAATTGTGTGCTCGTAGCCCTTAGACTATTGAGAATCTAGGACCCACTACTATATTTAAAATGATAGTTCATGTCTGTGGAAACCCTGGATGTTTAGGAGCTGGTAAAGCTGGGGTTCTCTTACTCTTTGATTAAGGTAAGGACATTTATCATTTATGTGAATTTTTTTGATTAATTTCTTTCTTGACAGTTTGAGAACAATTCCTTTTGAAGGAAAATAGAGAGGCAGGCAGTGTTCATTGATTTGTCTGACATAAATATAGTAGTTAAGATATATAAAGTAGCCCAAGGAGTAATGTGCTTAGACAAAGCATTCTGAGCTTCTGCTTTAATAATTATGATTTTTAAAGTGATATTACCAAGAGTTGTGCAAAGTACCTGTTCTACCATATTATTGATGTTTACAAGGTTTGGGTATGATAAGAAAAAGAAATCTGGGTCAAAATAAAAAACTGCTTTGTAAAATAAACAAAGTTCCTATTTACTTACTATGTATAAACAGCCACTCACCAAGCCTCATTTCTCCGCAGGGCACCACTTTCAGATAAAAACATAGACCTGAATGGCATCATCCAGTATCCAAGGAAACCATGTAAGTACCTCTCTCACTGTGTACTTCTCTTATTCAGAGTTTAAAAGCTAGCTGAGTACTGAATAAGTGAGTGTTTTTATTTAATAATTATACGGGAGGTACTTTTTAGGAGCTTGCTAAAAAGAAACAGGTTCTTGATTGTTATGTGCGTCATAACAAAACCCTTATGTTTTCATCATATTTCATAAAATTATGTGTTTAGTCCCAACCTCTCCATCAATTCTCATTCTTAGGTACAAAACAGCTACTCAAAAGTCGTAATGAATTGAGAGTTTCAAACTTTTCCAAGACCCATTAGTGTCTGAGAAACAATCTTTCAGAGGCCTTATGCCAGGAGAAGTGACCTAATTGTAATAAAAACTTTTTCAATTTTAAAAATCAAGAAAAAATTGATTAGAAAATAATATTTTATTGGTAAACATTTATAGCAGTTTATTTGGTTTTAGACTTCCTTGGGGAGTGAGCAAGTGAGCAAAAAGGTGAAGTTATGGATGCAAAGAATCTTGAAAGCAAGTGTAATTTTTAAGATGTGAAAGTCTATTTGCAGAAAGGCTTGGAAAGTTGGCATATTGTGTTCTTTCTTTTTTTCCCCCAAACTCATTAGTTTGTAGCTAATTTCTGTAGCTAATTTTAAGGTTCTAATTAATTTTCAGAACCATGGAATCTATTGAATCTACTGTAGAAATTGTTTCCAAACAGCACACTATTCTGGACAAAGATCCACTTCACAAATATTTGGACTCTTGTATTAGATATTTCTTTACTTGGACTTTATTATTTTTTTCTCATTTGCACTCTCTACTTTTAAAGTCAAATTATTTTCGATACTAAATAATTATTCATTATTGTTTACTTTTTCATGAAAATACTTAAAACTCTCTATACTCATATAATTATAGATTGCTTTTTTTTTTACCATCTGGATCAACTATATGGTTTATCTAGTCTTTTAAATACAGACTTACTACTGTTCATCAAGGTTTTCAGGAGTTGCATTTAAATGCATCTAGTTTAGCCCTGTTTAGAAGTTTTTCATACTATTTTCATTTACTTTGTTACTCTTGTATTTCTGTCTTTTCATTGTAGCATGGTTCCTTGCTAAGCATAAATGGTAGAGATGATCTCACTCAGTTTCTCTGCTGAATTAGACAGACCCTTCCTATTCAGTATCTCACTTCAAGAGCATTTCACTTTCCCACATGACAGTGTGGTATTATTTATGCCTTTCCATGTTTTTGTCTTTTTACATATGTTACAAAATGCATCTTTCTGAATTGAGAGATGAGAAGTTGTGTTAGACTAAGGAATTTGTTGGTACTTTGGAAGGGTGTAAGAGCCTCCTGTCCTGGTAGGAGGACCTGAATAGGAAGTGAGTTTTCTTATGTTACTTAACAAACTTCACAACTATGGAGTTTGAGACCTGAAGTACTCCCCTCTAAATAGGAATTCCTTGCCACAAAATAAAGGTTGGGCCATTGCTGGGTAAACTTGAAAGCAGCAGGGTTAGAATAGATCTTTATAAAGAAAAATGTGAATCAAAGGGGAAGAAGACTGGCTAATGCCGTAATTCCCTATCTTGAGCAGGTGGAATCTTTTGAAATTCCATTCTCCTTGTGGTGAGAGGAAAAAGAATGTCTACACTGCAATGCTTGTGGCACAGTTTTAAATATTTACATGAGAATATAGATTTTCCAGAAAAGCGATTTAAATTTTATCGGTTTAATTCTGCCTCCTATACTAAAGGAAAAATGACTTGGAGAAATAAATTGATATATACACATCCATTCATCAGTAGTGATCTCTCTAACAAAGACCATCATTACTCAATCAAACTTTCTGACATGATGGACATTGTTCTATATCTGCATTGTCCAGTATGGTAACCAGTAGCCACATGTGGCTGGTGAGTATTTGAAATGTGGCTAGTTCGATAGAGAAACTGAATTTTGAATATAATTTAAATTTAATTGATTTAAATTTACATAGGCCACATGTGACTAGTGGCTACTATATGGGTATTTTGCTTTTATCGGAAATTAAAGTCTTACAAAGAATTTCTAATCATTTGGTATTCTATAATACATTATCATTTTTTATATTTTCTTTAATATTTGAGTTATAATTGCAGTGGAATTTCTTTATAACACTTTCTTAGAGATGAATGTTTTTAATACTGTTGATGGGAAGACATTATAACTTTGTTTTATAAGCCTGGGGTAGCAACTTTTAAAATGGGCATTATAAGCAAGACTGCATCTAAAAAGAAAAACACTCTAATGAAAGTTGTAACAATGATGATAAATATTTCGAAAAGTTCAGTTACAATTTCTGTAATGCATCTTGCAGTGCAAAATGTAACCAACCTACAAAAATGCTCACTAGCCTTGAGTCCCCAAAGCTGATTTTGCTTCCAAAGCACACATCAGATTTTAAATCATATTTTAAAGCTCTGCTCCCATGGCCTTTTTAGGCATTTAGTGAAAATAAACATTAGGATGCATCATGATATTTTAAGAATATTACTAGTCAGTAATACTATAGACAGAATTATTAGTTAAAATATACTGAGAATTTAAAATTTACATTGATTTTTTTTTAAAGTCAGCAAATCAGCTCATTTCTTGAGTAAGAAATGTAGGCTATAGATTATTTATAGGATACTGAACTAGAGACCATGAGGAAGTTTTTAAAATGGAAGATGTAACATTCATCTTTTTAGAAACTCCATTTATTGGCTTTGAACATATCCTTTTGAATGGGTAGGATTCAGATAAGAGGAGACTTCTTTTGGCAGAACCTTGGACAAGCTACTCACAGTGTCCTTCCTACTGCAAAAACAACTAGATTCTAGATGGAACATATTTCTAATGAATTATTTGAGTGGGAAAAAAATTTTTGGACATCTTCCTGACCTCAAAACCAAAAAATTAAAATGTGTGTTGAAAGGTGGAGTTGCGACAAGGAGCAAACAGGAACATTTCATAGGAATGGCAAGATTGAACTGGATGAGTTTGTATTGCAGGGATGCTGTTGGAAGGATAGCAGTCATATGCTCTGTTAAAATTCTCATAAACCTAACCTTATTAAGAGAACAGGAAGACATAACAACCACATCTGTAGACCCAGGTTTTTGGTCTCCTTTGATGTCTTTTGGTGTCTTCAATTAGGTAGTCAACCACTTGCATACTGCCAGGTCTATTTTCAGAAAGAAGGTCTATCCTTGCTAAAAAGCCAGTGTTCTGTGTGGAGAAAATATGGTCTTCCATTAAGGGAATGCTACAAATCACAGTCCTCAATGTCCTTATAAAATATCATTTCTGATATCTCCATGTCTGAGAAATAGTTTTCATCATGGCCAGTGACCTCTGAGTTCTGAATCACTGCCTCAATTTCTTATGTATTTATTGACATATTTCTAATCTACCTATCTAAATTTTTATTATGAGAATTTGAAATATACTAAAAACTAGAGAGGCTGGTATAATGAACTTTCATACACCTATTCCTACCTTCAACAACTATCATCTCATGGATAATTTTGTTTCAACATATCCCTATTTCCACTTCCCACCCCCACCCCAAATTATTTGGAAGCCAATTCCAGACATGACATAATTTCATTCTTTAATATTTCAGCAGATATCTTTATAAGATTAGGACTTGTTTGGTTTTTTTTTAGGACTTGTTTTTTAACTGAAAAAAATGAATCACACCAAAAAAATGAACCACATATAAAAGTCAGTATTTTCTTATTGTTATCAAATATGCACAATCAAAATTCAGATTTTCTCAATTGTCTCTTAAATTTTTATAATTACTTTTTGCTGTTTGAAACAGAATACAAGTAAGACCCGTACATTGCAATTGGTTATTTCTCTTCTCTTTTACTCTGTAGGTTTCCCTTTTATCTATTTTTCCTTGTTTGTTAAGGAAACTGGATTATTTGGGTGGTAGAGTTCTCCATGGTTTGTATTTGCTGATGCCTTCCTGTGGAGTTGTTTAATAAGCTCCTCTGCCCCATATCTTTTCTACTAATTGGTAATTAAGATTAGGAACTTGACCAAATGCATTTGGAGGAGGCTGAGCAAGACTACTGGTTCTCTCTCTTTTTGTGATGTTAGCAGATATTGATCATTGTTTAGATCTACTTATTCCTTAGAGTTAAGGAATACCCAGCCTTGGGAAGTTTCCTCAAACATTTGCCCTGATCAGTACTCTGCTACATTCTCAAGTGGGACCCTGCAGGTCTCAGGAGATCTTTCTCTATACAGTAGCTCTCTGCCAGGTGCTCCGTCCTGGGAACCATAGCCACCTTATCCTCCCATACTTTCAGACCTGCTTCATCAACTCAGGGAATTTGCCACTCTTGAGTTACTGTCCCTGTGCCTCTGCTAAGAAACCCTCAAGACTGTAAACAGGGCAAGCAGATTTATCTCCTTGGCTTCTCATTTCTTAGGGATCTTGTTGTTGCCTGATGTCCATGTCTTAAAAAAAACATTTTTTATATTTTTTGTCATTGTTGCTATTGTTGTTGTTTTAGGAAGGAGGGTACACATAGCCCCTCTTAGTCCATTTTGGCTGGAATAGAAAGTCTCCTCAGTTGTTTCCAAAAAAAGGTCAGCTGTAGCTTATTAATCCAAACACCATCTTAATATGAAACTCAATATTTAAAGCAAATTGAAAAAGGTATGTGTGTGTGTGTGTTTCCTTTGGAATACTGTAGACTTAAATCCATGAGTTCAACTTTCAGGACCTCTTTTTTATAATTTTTTTAAATTATTGATTGATTGATGTATAATTAGCATTAGTTTCAAGAGTACAGTATAATGATTCAGCAGTCTTATCCATCATTCAGTGCTCATCATGATAAGTGTACTCCTAATAACCTTTATTTATTTCACCCAACCCTCCACCTACCTCCCCTCTGGAAGCCACCAGTTTGTTCTCTGTATTTGAGTCTGTTTTTTTTTTTTTTTGTCTTTTTTTCCCTTTGTTTTGTT